TTTATGTCACAAGACTCGTCAATTGCTATTGATAAAGCTGAGACCAATTTATGATATGATCTTCGACTTGCTGGTCGGTTATATTTGAAGACATTTTGACTGTCTATCTTTCACTGTTTTAGCAGGCAATGGTAACTCTTTAAATTTTTTTTTTTTTTTTTTTAGAATATCTGCTTTGTTCTTAAAATCCCAAAAAAGCTCTTTGGATGCATTTATAAAACAACTTTTATGTATTCGCCATTTGTATATGGTTTTCCTCTCTTAGCAATCTCTTGACGAACCACAAAACTTGCAATATTAACATTGTTGGAAGATTGCACCCAGGAATTAAATATAGAACTTGATTAAAAAAAGTATTTTTATTGATTTCAGATAGGAAGGGAAAGGGTGAGAGAGATAGAAACATCAATGATGAGAGAGAATCACTGATCAGCTGCCTCCCGCATGCCCCGTGCTGGGGATCAAGCCCAAAATCGGGCATGTGTCCTGACCGGAAACGAACTCGGACCCTTCAACCTGCAGCCAATCCGGCTAGGGCCAGAACTTGATTTCTCTTGACTCTCCTGAAGTTCCTCAACTGCTTTCTTCCTTGCATCACCAACAGGATATTTAGTACTAAATGACACATGTTTAGTTGTAAAGTGTCTCTCCAAATTTGATTTCTTGTTACGCGCCAATTATTCCTGACAAATAAGACAGAACAGAAGGCCACTTAAGTTTTGAATGAACGTGAAAATCTCAGTCCATTCAACTTTAAATTCATGGTTTTTGTCTTTTGTTTTCCTTTGCTGCTTGTTTTGTAGCCATGTCAAACAGGGCACCTAAAAAAAAGTTTCATTTTATAATAATAAAGCCACCAACACAAAATAATTACAATTGTTAAATTGATGACAAAAATACCTGTAGGATTTGTATCTGGTGGGAAAAATACAGGTAACTTTATGCTTCGAGTAGGCACTTTTGTCACCCGCAAGTGATTTGTGGACGCGACTAGCACTAACCACTGCACAATGAGACTGCTGACTGACTGGCTCACTCAACTCTGCATGAATCAAGCACGCCTCCCCCGCACTGAGCATCCCGCGGCCTGCCTGCGCTGTGTCTCCCTCTTGTCGCCGACACCCCCACTTATTCTTTCTCTTTTTAAAATATATTTTATTGATTTTTTTACAGAGAAGAAGGGAGCGGGATAGAGAGTTAGAAACATCAATGAGAGAGAAACATTGATCAGTTGCCTCCTGACACCCCTTACTGGGGATGTGCCTGCAACCAATGTACATGCCCTTGACCGGAATCAAACACGGGGCCCTTCAGTCTGCAGGCCGACGCTCTATCCACTGAGCCAGACTGGTCTGGGCACCCCCACTTCTTCTAACGCCACTTCTTCAAAATAGACTTGCCCAGGTCAAAAACCGACTTCTGCATATAGGCCACGAAGTTTCAATCGCACTATATGTGCGTGCCAGCACGTGGTATTTTGTAGAAGAGCCACACTCAAAGGGCCAAAGAGCCGCATGTGGCTCTTGAGCCTCGGTTTGCCGACCACTGTCCTAGGAGATGTATCTGTAAACATACTGCTATGAGAGTTGTCTGAGATTTTGCTGCTTATGATTTTTATGATTTCACAACTTACGTTTAAATCTTTTATCCATTTTGAGTTTATTCTTGTGTATGGTGTAAGTTGGTGATCTAGTTTTGTTGTGGGGTCGAATCCTGGGTTCAAAATAAGACCACTGGAGGCTGATGATTAATTAAAAAAAGCAGGCAAGGATTTATTGAAATATCTGGCCAGGACAGCCGCGAGAGCACCACACACAGGTGGTCTCCACACGACTGCCCCGTTTCAGGGGTAGGCAGTTCCTTTTAAAGGATCAAACCACAGGAATTTTCCTTTGTTCTAAATTCTAAATCCTAAAGAATATGTTTTAAAGACTGGGTTCAGCCTGCAGGGTCACTGCTAGTCACATCCTGCTGGACATTGGAATGTGGCCCTATCTTGCGATAGCCGATAACACAGAAGCAGAGCTCAGCGGTTAGTCTCTAAAGGTTATCTACAGTTTCTATCCCTGAAGCTACTGAGTCAGTGGGAATCAATCTCCTGTGGTCCTGGTCCCAGGCAAGGGAAAATTGCCTTAGCCTCCAGGTCTCCACCTGGAAGCTGAGGTAAGTATTCCGTGTTTAATCAGGCAGGAGCCAGACTTAGCAGGGTTAAAATTCAGTTTTTACCAAAGTATGGTTGCCACTATATTTCAGTTTAATTTTTTTGCATGTATCTATCCAGTTTTCCCATTATTGAATAGACTGTCTATATTCCATGTCAAATATTATTTGAGCATAATGGCTTGAGTTGATTTCTGGGTTCTCTGTTCTGTAGCATTGATTTATATGCCTGTTCTTGTGCCAGTACCAGCTGTTTTGATTACAGTGACTTTGTAGTATAACTTGATGTCTGGTATTGTGATTCCTCCAATTTTGTTTTTCTTTCTCAAGTTTGCTGCAGCTATTTGGGGTCTTTTTTGATTCCATATAAATTTTTGGAGTGTTTGTTTTAGACCTGTGAATTATGCTGTTGGTATTTTAATAGGGATTGTATTGAATCTGTATATTGCCTTGGGTAGTATGAACGTTTTAATGAGGTTGATTCTACCAATCCATGAACATGGTATATTCTTCCACTTGTTTGTATCTTCTTCTATCTCTTTTTTCAATGCCCTGTAGTTTTCTGAGTAAAGGTTGTTGTTTTTTTGCCTTCTTGGTTAAGTTTATTCCTGAATATCTTAATTTTTCTGTTGCAGTGGTAAATGGGATTGTTTGTTTAGTTTCTCTTTCTGAGAATTCATTATTGGTGTATCAAAGAGCCTTTGATTTTGGGGTGTTGATTTTGTATCCTGCTGCACTGCTAAATTCATTTACTAAGTCTTGTAGTGTTTTGGTGGAGTCTTTAGTGTTTTCTATGTACAATATCATGTCACCTGTGAATAATGAGTGCCATTGTTTTCTTTACTAACCTTATTGCTGGGGGACGGTGACAGTCCTGACTAGGCTTCATCTGTCTCCGACCCGACATGCAGGGAGGGTGCCTTGTTACCACTGGGTGGGGGTGAAAGGCCCAGCTCCCCACTCCTTCTTCTCTGTTACCACCCTGCGGTGGGGGTGGGGCACTGGATACAAGGCAGGCCATGCTCATGGGAGTTGGGGTGGGGCTAGGGCCACAGGTATTCCATGGTGCTTGGCTAGCGTAGGGCATTAGTTGTTTTAAAGGGTTTGTCTTGCTAGAATATATCTTCTGTTCCTTTGGCTGGAGAGGCAGGTTGCTGACTTCTCCAGCAGCAGGCTCTGGGATATGCTGGAGAAGTCAGCAACCTGCCTCTGGGATATGCTGGGCAACAGGAAAGCCCCGAGGACCACTGCTGCAGCATTGCTCCTTGGATCCTGAGGTCCCTCGTCAGGCTGCCTTCTTCTCTCCCCTTCCAGAGCCTCCATAGGTGTTTTATTTTTTATTTTTACGTATGTGTGTATTTATTTTAAATATATATATTTTATTGATTTTTTTTTAGAGAGGAAGAGAGAGGGATAGAGAGTTAGAAACATCGATGAGAAACATCCATCAGCTGCCTCTGGCACACCCCCTACTGGGGATGTGCCCACAACCAAGGTACATGCCCTTGACCAGAATCGAACCTGGGACCCTTCAGTCCCCAGGCCCATGCTCTATCCACTGAGCCAAACCGGTTTTGGCAGTGTGTGTATTTATTTTTATTGATTTCAGAGAGGAAGGGAAAATGGAGAGAAACATCAATGAGGAGAGAGAATCACTGATCGGCTGCCTCCTGCACTGGGGATTGAACCCACAACCCGGGCATGTGCCCTGACCGGGAATCAAAGTGTGACCGCCTGGTTCATAGGTCATGCTCAACCACTGAGCCATGCTGGCCGGACCATAAGTTTGTTTTCTATATGATGGCAGGGCTCCCCTCACACAGGAGCCAGAGGCCCTGGTCGGCCTGGTCTTGAACTCTGTACACAGAGCCCTCTGTTTATGTTCTTTTAAGTTTGGCTTCTCTTGCTCAGCAAGATGCTGTGAGGTTTTCCCACGCGACTGTGTTTTCATTGCTGTAGAGCAGTGATTGTCAACTCTGTTTACCTCACGGCACACAAACTAATTCCTAAAATTCTGCGGCATATATTTTTATAATATTTTTTGCCAATCTGACAAAAATAGCTATACTTTTCACACTGGATGCCTATGCCCTGCAAGCACAGCCAAGGGTTCGCTGAGCCTGAGGAGGGGCGGTGAAGGATAAAGAAAAGACAGACGAGAGAATACAGCTGGGGCTCATTGGATCTCCCGTGCCTGGATGAGGACACAGATGAGGCTTCATTTTATAGTGAGATCAAAACAGGGGAGTGGTCAACATGTTTACAATGTTCTTGTGAGTTTCATCTTGTTTGGCAGCACTTGCTGCACCTCCCACAGCCCATTAGTTCCAGGAAGGAACTAGGGAGGCCATAAGGTTAAGCTAATTAAGCTAAGAGGGCTCTGCCCTCCAAGCTGGGACCTGTTTGTGGCCCGACACAGGTCAGTGGAGGCTTACCTCTAGCATGGCATCCTACAGACGCCTACTGTTGTGTTGGCTGTTGTCAGTTATTTTACTTGACAATCTGAGGGAAAATAGGTCAGTGCCCTTGACCAAATAAGTATTGCATGTTTTAAAAATTCTTGCTGCAGTCGCAAATTCTCGCAGTGACTGCTGCAAATGTTGGTGGGCAGGTGAGTCAGGGGCCACACGCCCTCCTCCTGTGGGAACGCACACTGCAGAGGCCTCTGAAATGGTCTTCCTGCCCCAGCCTTCGCCCTTTCTAATCACAGCCACATAAAAGCCACGGTCATCTTTCGGAAACATGAATTGGATCTTACCCCTTGCTCAAAAATACCAATGGCGACCCTCTGTATTAAGATTAAAACCCACAAGAACTGCAGGCTCTGGCCCCCGTCTGCCTCTTTCTCACCCCTGCCTTGTCTGCTTCCTCTCCCTGCCATCCCTTCGTCCACCCCCTGCATCTGTCCATCCATCCATCCATCCATCCATCCATCTGCCCATCCATTTGGTTTTGGGGTACCTGCAGTGTGCCTCGCTTACTCTGACCTGAGGACATCGACCCTTGCTGTTCCCTCTGCCAGAAACACTCTTTCCCCCAAACCATCGCCTACCTCTTTCCCCCTTTATTTAGGTCTTTGTTCTAATGTGATCTCTTCGAAGAAGGATTCTAAAATGGCCCCCACTCACCCTCTCTCTTTCTCCCCCACATTCTTTCTCTTGGTAACGCTGACGGCTACATGAACTTCTAGGGTATATTTGTTGCATGTCTTTCTCTTGGCAGACATGTTCATGAGGTTTTCTCATGGTTATCTGCTGTGACCCACTGCCTGGAGCAGTGCTGCGCATGGTAGGCACTCAGGGGATATTGGTTGAAAGCATCAAACACCCCAGCACAGGAGCTGGTCAGACACACCTCAGTTGGACACCAGCATCACCTTCCGGCTGTCTCATGGGCAGGCCCTCCAGCGGGTACTCCTCACATTCAGCTGTGGCTGCAGACATGGATCAGGAGGCTTGGGGGGGACCTGGATGCTGCATGTCTTCCAGCTCCCAGGCAGGACCTGGGCTTTGAGTAGCAAGGCCTTAACCTCTGAGCCTCAGTTTCCACACCTGTAAAATGGTTCACTGTGCAAAGCAAGGGGGAAGGTGTGTTCCGCGCATGGTGCCAGGACCTAGTGCTTGGTGAGCATCTCTTGCACCTCCTCTGAGCGCCTTTCAGGGTCTGAAACCAGAAGTCGCCTTGGGTTTTCTCCCTCTGGTTCTCCTCTCCCCACAAGCTTATCCCCAAAGAGATCCTCAGGGAAGCCTTGTCCATTTTATTTCTCCATTGCTAGCCAGCCCTGCCTGTCGTAGGCTGGGGAGTGGGGAGGATGCTGGCATTTTGGCAGTCATGGGGACATATGCAAATGAGATGCAAAGCAGCAGCTAATGGGCCTTGATTGCATTTGTGCGGGGAGCACATGGGATAGCTGTGCCTGGTTGGGGGTGGGGCAATGGCTGCTTTTCGGGCTGGGTGAGGGGCAGTGACAGAGGTGTCGGCTCCTGGGGGGGGGGGCACGGGGGCAGCTGCTCGGGGCCTGGGTGAGGGGCAGTGACAGAGGTGTTGGCTCCTCCGGGGGCACGGGGCGGCTGCTCGGGGCCTGGGTGAGACCACAGGCGTAGCCTTATCGTTGCTGTGAAGTGGGACATAGTGATGGTCTGGCAGAAGGGCTGGGTTTGGAGAGGAGTGGTGGGGGACATCTCTGGGCCTGTCTGGGCCTGCAGTTGGGAGAGGAGAGGGCTTCAGACCGGTGGCTTGGAGGCCCCTCCGCACAGCAGATGGGGCTGGATCCTGCGGACAGTGGGGTGGGCGGGGATGGATGCTCCCTGGGCTGGGCCAGGAGGGGGTGACAGAGGGTCAGCTTCGGCCACGGCGCCTGCGTGTGGGAGGGCAGAACTCGGGGGGGCTCAGCAGGCAGCAGATGGGGCCGGATCAGGATGAAGGCGGGTGGGCGGGAGGGGCCCGGATGGTATCCCTGGATGGAGCCGGGCTTTAGTATAATAGAAAGATGATCCTGGGCTGGGGGCTGGCAGGCGCCGGGAACTCAATCCCTCCCCGCCCCCAGCTGAGGTCTCCTCGCTTTCCAGGGAGCCTCTGCTCTCAGGTGCCAGGCACCCCCTCCTGGCCTGGCCTCCACCGGACCCTCCGCCGAGGACCGCCAGGCAGGGACCCCAGCTGCAGCCTTCCGGTGAGGGAAGGCCCGGCGGGAAGTCACCTGTCATTCCGGTCCTCTGTCGTGCCACCGTTTTACTGGCATCTCAGGCTCACATGACCCCGCACTGCCTGTGATGTAGGGACAAGGAGCGCACCTGACCCCGGAATTCCTGCCCGTGGGTTCTTTCCCGGGGAACCGATGTGGGACTGGCAGAATGTGGCAGGCACGGGGTTCGGATCCCAGACACTTCCTGGCTTTGTCAATTTGGGCAAATGGCTCAGCTCGCAGACAAGCCCGTTTCCTGTCTGTGCTGGGACCTCACCCGGGGGCTGCTGGGACCTCACCCGGGGGCTGCTGGGACCTCACCCGGGGGCTGCTGGGACCTCACCCGTGGGCTGCTGGGATGCCACAGATGCTGCCGGAGAGCAGGAGCTGTGTCCACTGGCTCATCTCTTCCAGGGCGGGGCTGTGGCCCTCCTTTGTGTGGCACCTAGAATGGCCCCTGGCACGTGGCAGGTGCCTGGTAAACACTCACTGAGTGAACAAAATTTCCTGTTTCACCCATTCCAAGGTGATTTCCCTCTCACATTGGACTTCTCTGATGCTAGGATGTTTCATGCAATTTATAGCATGCCTGATTAATTTTTTTTTAAAAAAATATTTTTTAATTTTTATTAATTTCAGAGAGGAAAGGAGAGGGAGAGAGATAGAAACATTAACGATGAGAGAGAGTCATTGACCGTCTGCCTCCTGCACGCCCTCTACTGAGGACCAAGCTCACAACCGAAGCATATGCCCTTGACTGGAATCGAACCCGGAACCCTTCAGTCCGCAGGCCGACGCACTATCCATTGAGCCACACCAGCTAGGACTGGCTTCATTGTCGGTGGGCTTCTGGTTCTTTGCTTGCATCTGCCCTCTCTGGGCTGTGCGGGTCCCTGAGAGTTACCCTGGGCCCCGGGCTGCTGTGCCCCTGCCTGAGGTCCTCTGAGGTGGTGCTGAGCTGGGTGTCATCCTGCAGGCAGGCTGTGTCCTGGGCCCCAGTCCCCACTTGGTCTCCCCTCCCCCTTCTCACCCCCTGCAAGCTGTTGTCTCTCCTGGGGGTAGCAAGGCTGTCTGAGGGGATGGCGATGGGCCCATTTTACTCTTCTGTCTCAGTTCCAAGTCCCAAACCGGACAGCCTTAGGGAGGTGGGCGGGGTGTCCATGAGCCCCCGGGGCTGAAGGGCTCCAGGTAAAATGTGGTCTGGATCAGGCAGAGGACTTAGAATGAGGGTGGCTGCATGCGAGCAGGGCCCTGTGTGCACCCCACCCCAGGCCCCTCCAGCAGCAGAGCTGAGACAAGGTGGGCAGATCATGTCCGGGGCCCAGAGCAGAGCGGGGTCCTCTCCCAGGAAGTGGCTCCTTGGTTGGACACTTTCACGGGGTCCCTTCTAATGAGAGAGGATTGAGGGTGTGAGTGTGCGGCTGTGATTTGCTGTAGGAAGGGTTTATGTGCAGTATGTTCTGTATCCGTGTGAATGCGTGTGCGCTGATGTTAGTATTTCAGTGATGTGTGTTGTTTGTACACGCATAGATAGGTGCACGGGTTTGTGGAAATGCATGTGCGCAAGCATGTGTAAGTGTGTTGTTGGGAGGCACCTGTGCATGGATGCCTGTTGGTGCGCGTGGATCACACGTGTGCAGTGCGAGCAGAGATGTCTGCTCTGAGGGTGTGTGTCAGCCATGGCCTGGGAGAAGCACCCTGGGGAACCACAGGGTCATTGCCAGCAGGAGCCAGGGGTGCTCAGACCAGCTGTTTTCCTGCCGTGGGCCTCAGTTTCCAATCTGGAAATGGGCATGGAGCTTCATGGAATGAGACAGCTCCATACTATCGCACACTCAGCCCGACCTAGAACAGCTAAATGAGATGCTGAGGACTGACTGACGCGAGTGAATGAGAAAGCAGGCGGAGGTGCGCACAGAGCTTTAAGGACAGGGCAGCTCCCTGGGTCCGGCAGGGTGTCGGAGGCGGGTCTGGAGGAGAAAGAGGAACGAGGCTGCGGCAGAGCCGGTCCGGGGCCACACGGGCCTGCGCGTCCAGCAGCATCCCCGGCGGCAGCGCGCCCTCCGAGTGGATGCAGCGGGCGGGCGTCCCCTGGCGTCCGCCGAGGGAGGCTGTCGGTGCAGCATTGCCCGGTTGGCATAGAAACGGCGGGAGGAGGTGGGTGGCTGGGAAAGGAGGCGGGCCGGGAGGAGGGGGAGCGGTGGGGGCGGGGAGCGGGCTTCTCTGGCGCTGCCTCCGGAGCGGGCGGCGCGCGGCAGAGGGGACCCCGGAGGACAGAGCCCCAGCCCGGGGCCAGCGCCCCCCTGCCGGCCGCCAGGAGGAGAGGAGGACGGCCCGCCCCTCCGGCCCCGGCCTGCCCAGCGGGGCAGAGTGCTCCCACTTGCCCCTGGCGTGGTACCAAGAGGGGCCCAGGTAGGCACCCATGGGGACGGCTAGCGGAGGCTGCGCGGCGAGTGGGGCCCGGGCTCCCCATCTCCCTACCCGCAGCGCCTGGGCCCGGGGTGGGTGGGTGGGTGGGTGGGGGGGAGCCGGCGTCCGTCCTGGGGGCACTCCTCAGACTGGGTCCTCCCCTGGTGCCTTTCCTCTTCTGCACTTCTACCCTCCACCCCCACCCCACCCCACCCCACCCCAGGTCAGTACTAGAAATGCCCTCCCTGGGGAAACAGCTGAAGGGGCTGGCGCTCCCGGGAGCTCACATTGCCAGTCCTCGGGAGCTAAGGCTGGGGGGGGGGGGGGGGCGGTAGGGAGAAGTGAGGTTGTCTCTGCCCCCCCCCCCCCCCCCCCGCACTGCTAGGCCTTGGTCATTTGGAACCAGCAGCTCCAGCCCTCCCACTCCCCCCACTCCCCCCCCACACCCAGCCTCCCTGTGGCTCAGTCAGGGAGGAGGCATCGCTCCCTTTTCCCCCAAACTCAGCTCCTTCTCTCCTCCCCTCCCTGCAGAACCAGGCCTCCTGGTTTCCCAAAGGACCCCTGTTCCACCCCCAGAAAACCCAGGGTCTCCATGTTGGGTGCCTGTGGCCCTCCCTCCCCAACTTCCATCCCTCCCGCTGCAGCGCTGCGGGGGGCCCTGGCCTGGGGTGGAGCCGCAGGCGGCTTGGCTCTCACCGGGCTGGGCCTGGAGCCTGGGGCCCGGGAGGAGCTGCCGGGACTCCAGCACAGAGGGGCGTGGGGGTGCACCTGGTCCCGCTTTGCCCTGCGTGGAGCTGGGGGGCCCTGGCCTGTGCGGGGAGGTGATTCTGGCCTGAGGGGCAGGGGTTGGTGTGTGCAACCTTGGGGCGCTCAGGTTCCAGGGGGCAAAGGCCTGGCCCTCTCCCCCCTGCCCTCTCTACCCGGCACCCGCTGAGGGCCCGGCACCCGCCTGCTGAGAGCCCAGCACCCACTGAGGGCCCCCCACCCACCTGCTGAGCGTGTGGGGGTCCATCCGAGCTCTGGCACAGCCTGTGGGTCAGAGGACCTGGTGCCGGGCTGAGGCGGGTCCCGGGCCGCTGACAGGCAGGGGAATGCTCCCCCACAAGCTGACGTGTCACCCTCATTTCTGCCAACGTTAGTTGCACCTGCTGACTATACAGTGCCTCCAGCGTGGGGCTCAGGGCCTGGGCGTGAGAGGAGGTCTCAGGCGGCAGCAGCGGGGAGGCCATGGCTGGGAGCTGGCAGCCATACAGCCAGGCCCCCATGCCTGCTCCCCATTTCTCACGCGGGCTCCCCTCCCCACCAGGGCCTGGCAGCACCGGCATCTGCCCTGCGGCACCTGCAGCCGGAGCCTCCATTCCAGCCGAGCCGGGGGCTGTGAGCCGGGGGACAGGCCCTTTGGCAGGAGCTGGAGGAGGTCTCCCTTCCCAGACCCCCAGGCCGGCCCTGCCTCCCACTCCGGCCGCCTTCTCTGGGCCACAGCCCCTCTCTCCAGGTTTTGTTTTTTTCTGTCCCACGGGTCCCAGGGTCTTTGCTTGCTCCATCTCTCTCCTACACTCTGCTGCCCCCAGACTCTGGGGCAGTGAGCTCATCAGAACGGCCCCCAAGGCACCTTACCCAGCCTCCCCACATCCTGGCAGCCAGGTGGGAGCCCGGCCCACCCCCAGCAGCTTCCCCGGTCACAGGAGCTGAGGGGAGGCCCGGCCACAGCGGCCTGGAGCTCGGCCCGGAGCTGGGGGCTGGGAGCTGGGGGCTGGGGGCTGGGAGCTGGGCGCTGGGAGCTGGGAGCTGGGAGCTGGGCACTGGGAGCTGGGAGCTGGGAGCTGGGCGCTGGGAGCTGGGAGCTGGGAGCTGGGCACTGGGAGCTGGGAGCTGGGAGCTGGGAGCTGGGCACTGGGAGCTGGGAGCTGGGAGCTGGGCGCTGGGAGCTGGGAGCTGGGAGCTGGGTGCTGGGAGCCGGGAGCCGGGAGCTGGGCGCTGGGAGCTGGGAGCTGGGCGCTGGGCCTGGAACCAGTCAGGCTCCTCCGCACGTGGCCCCGGCAGGAGCTCTGGGAGAGGAGGGAGACACGTCCACTTGCTCTTCGGGGCAACTCAGGATTCAGAGCCGCTCCATCCCCCCTGTTCCTCCGCCCGCCATCTCCCCTGCTGCTCAGGCCCAGACCCAGAGCCGCCTGACTCCTCGCAGACAGACCACCGGCAGAGCCTGTTGGCCCGATTGTCACAGCCTTTCCGGGTGCCAGCCTCTTCTCACTGCTGCCAGCGGCACCACCTTCCCTCACCTGGAGGATGCAGGTTAGGGGGTGCCCTGTGCTGCTGCCCCGCAGTCTGTTCTCCCTGCAGGCAGGGGTCCTTAAAATTCAAGCCTGACCCGGCCGAGGGCAGGCGGGAGAGGGCCAGGCCTTTGCCTCCCTGGAACCTGAGCGCCCCCAAGGTTGCACACACCAACCCCTGCCCCTCAGCCAGGATCACCTCCCCGCACAGGCCAAGGCTCCACGCAGGCCAAAGCGGGACCAGTTCCTCCCAGGCCCGGGGGGAGGGCATTAAGGCTCTTATGCTGACCCACAAGGCCTCCTGTGACAGGATCCTTCCCCAGCCTCCCCCCCGGCCTCCCCGGCCTCCCCCCCACCCCTCTCCTCACTCACTCTGCTCCAGCCGCAGGGGCCCCTTGCTCTCAGCCAGGCAGCCATGCTTCGCTCAGGGCCTTTGCGCTGGCTGTTCCCTCTGCCTGATGCTCTCCCCCAGGTGGCTGCCTGGCTCCCTCTCATCTCCTGTGTAAAATAGCCTCGTTCCCGCCCCCTGCCCCTCCCTGTCCCCGTCCCTGCCGTTCTTCTCCACAGCCCTGTCACCTCTAACACACGTGACCATTGGCCTATTCGTCTGGCCCCTGTCTGTCCAGCCCCTCTGGTGGCAGGCCCACGCGGCAGGGGGTGGGGGTTTGGGTCTCGCTCAGGGCTGTGCCCAGAGCAGCACTGGGAGGATGGCGGCGCAGCTGGAAGCCAGGAGCCTCTGTCCGGCTGTGATGGGGCCTATGACGTGGCCCTCCCAGGGGGGGGGCAAAGCCCCTCCGGCTGGGCAGTCGCCCCAGGACTCGGAGTTGGGCGGGATGTCCTGCCTGGCTGGTCCCTGCTTCTTGCCTTTTTCTGCTCCGGCCTCGGCCAGGGCAGCTCAGCTGGCAGGAGGGGCAGGGCAGTGAGCCACTTGCTGCCATCCTCGTGCAGCCAAGGACGGGGGGCCTTCCTGTGGAATGCAGCCAGGGCCGGGAAGGTTCGTGCAGACCTGGCTGTGCCCCCCAGGAGGCCACAGAGCACAGGGCCCAGGCCAGGAGGCCCCGCACAAGGCCAAGTGTGGATGATGGGTCCTGGGAGAGCTGCACCCGGGGCGGAGAGGACGGGCCTGCCTTCCCACAGCTCCCACTCCTGCTCCCCATCCGTGGGGTCGGAGCCCGGGGCAGGGGTCTGACGAGGACGGCCCCTTTGGGAGGTGGCCTCTGAGACCCTGAGTGGACCTGGGTGCTTGTGGGCCCGGGCCCGCCGTGGGCCTCGGCCCAGTGCCCGGGTTCCTCTGGGGGTCGGGAGGGAGGGTGGGGCTGAGATACCAGCTCTGCACCCTCACTGGAGGCTGGGACCCTTCCCCGACTCATTGTCCCCTAAGTGCTGTCCCCACCGCATGAGGAGACTGTCACTTCTGGGCTCTCTCCTGCGCTGGAGCACACTCAGGCTCTCTGCGGCCAGAGATGTGGCCTCCACTGTCCTGGGAACGGGAGTGTGCGGCTGCCTTGGGGGCTGGAGGAGGAAGGAGAGGGTAGAGATGGCAAAGGGCCAAGGATCAGAGGCCAGGGAGTGGGCAGGGAGCAGGGGCGAGGCCAGCCAGGAGCTGAGGTGGAGAGCCGTTAAACCCTTCCCGGGTGGGGTGAGCCACCTGGGCCCTCTGTCGGGACCTCTCTGGGTGAGACCCCGCTCTGCCTCCCTCTGTCCCCCATTTGTGTTTCCATCCTTTCCCCACCCCACCCGAGCTTCATCATCTCTGAAGGGAGGGCCCTTGGGGACTTCCCTGGGACCTTTCCCAGCGCAGATAGAGGTTCGGGTCCAGGGCCTGATGTTTAGACCCAACGGGAAGGCTGGGGAAACCAGGCCTTCTTCATAGGGGACCTGGAGACCCGGGGTCCCAGGCGAGGCCAGCAGGCGTGGACGGAGGCCTGGGTCAGCTCAGGCTGCAGAACGTGGATCGAGCGGTTTATTGCTCGCGGTTCTGGTGGCTGGACGTCCGAGGTCGCGGTGGCTGTGGGGCTCCTGGGGAGGCCTCTCTTCCTGGCTGGCAGAGGCCGACCTCTCTGTGTCCAGACATGACCTTGCCAATCCTACTGGATCAGGACCTCACCCTTACTTGCCCTCAGTTGCCTCCTAAAAGTCCAAACACAGTCACATTGGGGGGGGGGGGTAAGGCATCACATATGGATTTGGGGGACACAGTTCAGTCCCTAGCAAAGGTCTGTGGGATATTAGGCACAAAGAGGAGATGGAGTGTGAGGTCATCCACAAAGATGGGAGTCTTCTGTTTGAAAGCTCTGCAGCTGCGAGAAGCATGGGTGACGATACCGATGATGATGTGATGGTGATGGTGATGATGGGGATGATGGGGATGATCAGTGATGATACCTATAGGATGATGGTGATGCTGCTGCTGATAGTGGTGATGGTGGGTGATGATAGCTATATTGATGATGATAATGATGATGATGATGGATGATAATATCTATGATGATAGGTGATGATAACTATATATAATAATAATGATGATGGGTGATGATTGATACTGGTGATGATGATGATGATGGATGATTATAACTATGATGATGATGATGGGAAATTATAACTATAATAATAATGATAATGGTAGTGGTGGTAATACCGATGATGATGATGATGATAATACCTATAATGATGAAGATTATGATGATGATGGAGAGTGATGATACCGATGATGATGATGATGATGATGATGAT